TCGACGTGGTGGCGAGCGACTTGGATCGGGTGGTACAAGACGCGCTGGGATATTACGTAGCATGACCTTCCACCGGACGAGCGTGCACCGTACGGTCTCCGACAGCCGATCACCGGAAGCGGCATGACGGCGATCGAAAAATAGATGCACAGTAAGTAAAAGCCAGCACTTACTGGGACTGGTATCGTGGCTAATTTGCCCAAGCATGTGACAGCAAGTAGTTGAGAGCGCAATACAGGGTTCGCCCTATCATGCTGCAACACATCGGTTTCAAGAAATGATGTTTGCGCCGTCATCATGGCTGCACTCGAGAACATGCTCAATTCGCCACATGGCGTCAGTATTTTCTGAACAGAAAGTTGGTGCCAAGCGGTGACACTTGCACACACTCTCTCGACAAATCCGTCTCGGGCTTTGTACAAAAGAAAATGTCTGAGACATCGCACTTTCCCCTGATAATCGCAATCGCGTGTCTTGCACTGTTTGGCTCCAGTAGCTAGGTTAAGCTTATGACAAACGTCCCGATCGCAAAGTACAAATTGTGGCGGATCCTTTTCAAGTCGTGGCATCTCCAACACAGATATAAGGTATCCATAAGAGGACAGCTGACTCGCTCCTGGCTTTTTCCGGTGTCCGCAATCACAAACTCTACTCAGACGAATGATATATTTGATATCATCTGGGTAAGCTGATCATTTGAGTCTGTACATGCATTCGGGATCTGCTAGAGTATCTATCAGGGAAATGACTTAGTTAGTCTTTTACGGGTGTATTTAATGGTGGGGCTCCGGTCTTTTGCACAGTGGTAACTTCACTCGGTGTTGCTAACTCTGTTCTAGTATCACACCGTAACACTAGTGCGTCGTCACTTATACCACAGAGGGCAGACGCTATTTTCTGGGACTCACAGTCGCCTGTCTCCATCTGATTTTGCCTGTAGTTTGCGGCACGGGGCCGTTCTGATCCTTCTCAGCGAAGATAGCCCTTGAAGACCGCAAAGTTTGGTCGTATTATCACGTCATACCCCATAAAAGATTATTGTAACCCAACTCGAAGCTGTGATTATAGCATTGGTTCTTGACATGGCTCTGACAGGTTTTATATAGATGCTCTGCACAAAATACGTGTATCACGGTTCTCAGTGACTTCTCACAGATCGATGAGTTGCTTTCAACAATCATTCATGTGGGTTTCGAATCATACTTTTTGAGAGAATGTCACGTATTTACGGCCGAAATATTTATAAATTTAACCTCATTTGCCACGAGACACAGTAAAGCTGGTCATTTTTAGAAAGCCTCTACGCCTACTATTTTCTCGATAAGACTTCTTCTACCAGCTCAACATTAGGGCTTGACTCTGTGAGCCTCTTAATCGATAGCGGTTGGGAGCGCGAGGCTTAAATGTATGATGCCCCTGTAGATGTAGCATGTAGAATCTTAAGATGCTGCTCAGCAACAGGAAGTTTGTTTAAAACATTCGTACTCGGCTAGGTTGTGATTGATGACCCCTTCCGCACCCCAACCGACTCTCGCGATTAAACAGCTTTGTTTTTAATCTTATGCAATGTCATAATGTAGGACGTAATATAGTACATAAAAGTGGTCTCCAAATTCGTAAAAATGACTTTCGCGATTTTGTTGGCCGCAAGCTGGACCCGTAAATCGTCCACTATAGCACACACCTCTCACCACATTTGATCTGCATAGTTGTGGTGGCCAACAAATAGCTGTGAGATTGTCACTCACATTAAAGTTTATATCGCGTCCCTTAGCAGTAGCAGTCTCCGTGGGTTACTATTTCAGCGACAAAACTGCCGCATTTTTTGTTAACTCGATGGACATCATCCCGGCATCTTTATTAGTATTTGCTTCAAACAAGATTTGCTACCCGCTTGCGGGCAATTAACTCAAATGTCAATCACATCTGGAGTTTGTACGTCATGGCGATCTTGCTGGATGCGCATTAATCTAGGAGACACCATTGTGTGGTCAGACCATCTTGTGTGACCCACCCTTTCATACCAGGGTACGTGTAACCTCGTCACACTCTCCCCCATCACAATTGTGAGCACCCACAATTCACATTTAACTGTCGCCTCGTACAAGGCTCGCGTGTCTAAGACACCTCTACATCCCTAGAGACTTCTGCGCTGTTGCTTTAATTTGAAGCTAACAATAGAATGCTGGATTCTCCACAATAAATGAACTATATGTTTATAATCCTTTAGAAATTGGATGATTTACCAGGCTCCATTATAGCGTTAAAACAGCCAGAATCAGAATTTCTTGCCTCGCCACGTCAATTTCCAGGGCTCCTGCTTATTGAGCTGCGGCATACTTGGGGTCATATCGTCGGTGTTCAACAATAGGCTCAAGTCCTAGGTAGTTCTATAACGACCTTAGATTTGTTCGCTTAGAAATTAGCATTCTCTGCTCAATGAGGGCTGTGTTAGGACACGAAAGACAACCAGCCTCGCTGGTTCCGAGAGAGCCCGCGGTCACAGCCCTTCTTCGTCTCCTTCACGCGATGCAACTTCTGACAACACGTCCGCGGCTTCAAGGGATGCACATCCAAAGCCTCGGAACCGAGCGCCCACCACGGGCGACGAATTACCTCGTCGAGGACTTTAAGCTAATCTTTAAAGAACCATAATGTTCGACAAATTGTTCTAAATTATCCTGAGAATAAGGATTTACTAACGATTTGGTGTACAAATATGATAATCCTGTCACTTTAAGAAATCGAATGTTATCAGTATCGAATCAATTTAGCAGCTGCATTGACAAAGATGGAATCTGTGGCACTAGTCCACAAGCGCAACATGCTTGCTGATGTCGAGAGAAAACATATTCGTAAGACATATATTATAGACCAGTGATGATCAAGTTATAGAATTTAATTCGTGACGTGCGCATACGATATGAGTGGCTTCTTCTCTATAAGCATCACTGCAGCCTGCTAGCTAATGTCGTTTGCTGTCAAAAAGGCCATTAATAAGCCTGTCGCAACTCCTAGCAACAGAATATTATCACGCAAGATTGCCAGGCTTTATGAAACGTTCATGCGGCATTTGGTGCACTTAGCAGTATACTTTCCTTCACGTTACTCATGTGAGGATGCTCCCAAGGCACATTCCCGCGATGCGAAACTTATATGAAGCCCTAATGAGAGCTGCAGCGGTGCTGCTGTAGCTTTGCGCTTTGAGGTCACCGACCTTTCAGTCTATATTTAGAACAAGTACGATTTAGCGGATCGCAATCCGCTTACTCCAAGAGTAATTATTGCCTTACCTAAGGCTAATAAACTTTTCGGTATAAATTCAAAACTGATTTTTATTTATTTTTATCAGCGGCAAAGCCGCCTAATTTTAAATGTTTAGATTTTACTAAATATACTAAATATATTTAGTAAAATCTAAATA